GGGGCGTAGGAGGAGGAGAGGATTGAGTGCGGCGCGAGCGGTCAAGTGTGCCGCGCGCTGTAGCAGGCGCCCGAAATACACCACGCGGGATGGCGTTTCCGACAGCGCGCCCAACTCATTATAGCGCACGCGCCGTTTTTGCGCGCCGGCTGGAGCGACCCGCCGTGTTGCGCGCGCGCTAAAACCGACTAATTTGCGGCGCGGCGCTAGTTTAGCGCGCCTATTGGAGATGCTCTAAATAAATATGACGCCTCACTTCAGTGCAGCTCAGGGTGAAGAGTTCATGTCAACAGCACAACTTCCATTGTAACAAGAGGTTATTCTCAGGATGGCATTATGTTACTACTAGTAAAGAACATTGCCAAGCCAGAAAAAGTCCAAGGACTAAATATAGGGCTACAAGCGTCATATAGCACCATTGGTGGCTGGCGGACGAAGGAACAGGGATGCCTCTAGCCCGCCACCTCTGGTTTTATAGTAAATAAGTCCTGAACCATCAAAATAAAACCACGTGGTTCTCTAGCGTCTACATACCCCAGGAGTAGATTCTACTGGAGGATTATGATAGTTATGTACACCTTGACTGTAACTTCGCACGTCGCAGGAAGCTGTGGGGCTTTGCAGTTGGGAAGTCACCATCTTCATCAGGATCAGAGGACTCTCAGCTGGGTTAGAAAGGCAGAACACAGGTCCAGAAACAGGAGCTGTGGTCCACTGACCCTTTGCAAGTCGAGAAGATACTTCTCATCCCTTGTTTTGTAGAGCTGCAAAGAGCATAAGTGTATCAACACCTAGCACATCCTCAGAGGATTAACTTTATGCAAGCAAAAAGAAGTGTGATATGAGCGAAAATAAGGTTGATTATGAACATGCCTGAATATGATACTACCTCTGTAAACAAATATAAGACGTTTTAGATCACTAAAGGTTCTATTTGTTTAGAGGGAGTAATAGTTAACGATAATCTTACATGCAAATGCACTACTACCTCCGATCCATATTAATTGACGCAGCATCAACTAATATGGATCGGAGGGAGTAACAAAATTAATTTCACTGCTTAGCCATCACACAAGGAGTAGAAAAACATGTCAACGCTGAGGCTTATGCATTAGATTGTTCACATAACCACATGGCAAATTTGCAAATCAGGACCAGCTCACAAACTAACGGCAGATGGTTAAGATTAGAAGGGTACCTGAATTTCAAACTTCACGATGTGGGTTGATTTGTCACTGAGGCCATCAGCTTCAATTATAGCAGATTCCACACCGAAGCCATTGTTGTTATGCATCATAGTCTCAACAAAGCCAGGACTCCACCTGCACTTCATGTTATAGTGCCCAATCTTCTTCCAGCAAACATTTAGCTCTTGCAGAGCTTTAAGCACTTCAGTTATGATTTCTCGTGGATGTGCTCGAGACTGTCAAATATCATAAAGTAAGAAAATCTAAGGATTTCGGCTTCAGTTATAGCAAGATGAATTTCAAACCAAAATTACCTGAAGACCAAGAGCCCATTTCCTCTCAGCTGCAAAATGGTGCCTCAAGCCAAACCCTGGAGAACCATACTGCCGAGCTTCAGATGCTGAACTTGGTGTTTCAGGTGAAACTTGGGAGAAAGATGAGTCCTGCATATCACAGAAAGCACAGCAAATGAGTAGCAGTACGAGTACAAGAGCAATTGCAATCTACAGCACAAGCTATACAAATGAGAAAAAAAACTCCCAACACACCATTGACTCTTGATACTCGGCTCCAAGGTAGCCACTGGTTGTACGAAGCTTATTGTCCAGGAGTAAATAATATGCAACTGTCGCCTGCACAGGTAGAATTTAGTAATTGTTCCATTAAGAACAACCAAAAAGAACAGAGTAATGCAAATACCTCATTTTGCAATCTCTTTTGAAGAGATTCAGTGAGCTGATTCTTGTCAAATCCCATTTTGATAACATCATTCAGAGTTTCATCGTCAAGCTACAAAATTCATAGTGACGTCAAAATTACTCCTGAACATGCATAAAGAAAGTGTAATAACGCAGAAAGGACTCCCATTTTGTACATATATGAATACACAAAGATAAAGAAAAATAAATATATTCACCACTGTTATAGAATGCCATAAGAGCAAAGGTTGCAAAAATCTTAAAGTTCATGTTGATACACAGCATCATCAGCATACCTTTTTGACTTGTTGTGCAGTGTCTGGAGGAGGCACGGCCAAATAGCGTGGAAGTCTAGCTTTGAACCATGAATGTTCACGGATTTCACGTATGGTAATCCTCTTCATAGGATCAACAACCAGCATTCTTGGGATCAAATCTCTTGCTAAAGGAGACAAGTGACTAGGAAGGGTGTATATTCCCCCCTATAATGACAAAAAAGATAACTTATTCACTGGATATAAGATGAAATGGTATAGCACATTTTTCAGTAAACTGAAGAAGATAGTTGCTAACCTTTATTTTCTTAAAAAGGTTTGGTATGTTCTCATCATCAAATGGAAGAGTGCCACAAAGAAGGGCATACAGAATAACACCACAGCTCCAAACATCAACTTCAGGGCCAGCGTACAGTTTACCTGATATCACCTAAGCAAATGTAGAAAACATTGTCTGGTATCAGAGTTGTGACACATTATCACAATATCAACATTTATTAACCCTGTGAAGTGTCAAACAAGCTATTCTAGAGATATACCTCGGGTGCTGCATAATTTGGGCTACCACAACTAGTCTTCAGAAAGTGGCCGTCACGCATAACATTACTTAAGCCAAAATCTGCAATCTTAACATTACATTTCGAATCCAACAGAAGGTTCTCTGGCTTCAGATCACGGTGAACCACCATATTTCTATGGCAATATTCCACACCAGATATAATCTGTATGAAAGGTGAAACAAATAAATAGCGTACCATAAGCAGTGAATAATGTTGATACACAATGATATTATGATAGAAGCAGGCAAAAACAAAGTATCTACAGTGACAAATATGACTAACAAACATGACATGTACTTTATATTAGCTAATGGTAGCATACTGAATTTATAACTGTAGAATAAATCAATAAAAGGGCTTGACCCAATCTTTGCAATGAATTCAGGGAAGTGAAAGAAACGTACTTGCTGGAAAAAGCGACGAGCTTCTTCCTCTTGTAACCTTCCCTTCTCAACAATGTAATCAAACAACTCCCCAGATTTAACATACTCCATAACAACATAAATATCCGCTGGGGTATCTATGACCTCATAAAGTCGTATGATATGAGGATGCATAAATAACCTCAGTATCTTGATTTCTCTTTTCACTGTAAATTGGCAAAAAAAAACTGAGAATTGAGCAAGTGCAAAACAACAATAGTGGCAAGAATACAAGTATATGTCAATCAGCAAAGTAACAAACAGCAGCTTTTATAATGTAAAAAAATCAACAAGCTATTGATTGTGATACTTATACTAGACACATCAGCCAACAGAAATTTGCAAGTTGATTACTAAAGCATCATAGGTTTATAACACAAATAAGGTTGAATAGTTTGAGAGGTTGTGCTTTCTACCTTCTACTAGAAACATGCAAATCAAACAATGTAATCAACCAACTCTTCAGATTTAACATACGGAGTCAATCACTAGCTCGTAGCTCGAGAGCCTAATGAGCGATCGATAGCTTGGCTAATTAAGCTCGTAGGTCACTTCTTAATGAACAAAGCCAATCACTGATTTCAGCTCGTTAAACTTAACGAGTCTCACGACAGCTCGTTGAGCTCGCTAGTACAACACAACACATATTCTTTTCTTAGGTGACAACATTTTCGCGACACCTCGGTCCATCTATTCAATCAAATCGACCTAACATAGCCCATAGGAGGCAGGAAACTAGGGCACCTCCTCCTGTAGTCACCATACTCCTTCATAAAAGTCACACACACACTCTCAAAATGTAGGTCGTAACACATCGTAGTCTGTTAACGAGCGCTCGCAAACACTCACGAGCTTAACAGAGCCTAGGAGGGATTTTTGCTCGTTAAGCTTAACGACCCGAGTCTTAATGAGCACGAGCTTAACGAGCAGCTCGTTCATCCACCCCTCCATAGCAACATAAATATCCACTGGGGTATGTATGACCTCATAATACCGTATGATATGAGGATGCATAAATAATCTTAGTATACTGGTTTTTCTTTTTGCTGTAAAATAGCAAAAAAAAACTGAGATTTTACAAAGTACAAAACAGCAAAAGTGGGAAAAGTACGGGTACATGTTGATCAGGGAAGTCACAAACAGGAACTTCTAACATAACAAATTCAAGAAACTATGGATGGACAATTCTCATACTTAAACTAGATATCGACAACAGCCAAATGAAAACTTGCAAGTTGATTGCTAAAGCATCACAGGATTATAACAGAAATAAGGATGAAGTGTTTGACAGTTTCTACTTTCTACCTTACAGCAGAAACACGCAGATGGCCCTCTGATGAGCTTTTCTCAACGGGCGCAAATCTATGTACACTGTAGGTACTCCAGAAACAGAAACAAGCTTTCTGAACAGAATGAGCGATGACCAACCTTTCTCTTCCATCTCCATGCTCTTGATCTTACGGCGATTGAGGATCTTGATTGCGACCTTGTGGCCCGTAATTATATGCTCGGCGATCTTCACCTTACCAAAGGACCCGATGCCGAGGGTTTTGCCTATCCGGTAGCCGGCCAGCGGGTTGGCATCTCTGCCTGCTGCGTCCATCGTCGACCTAAAATAAATCACAGCCAAGCGATTCAGCGGCAAAGCAAAAAAAGGAATTAAAAGCTATTATCACCAGCTCAGGGGTGCCATAGCTACGGTCGGATCTACACATGCGTGGGCGGCCACACTTGGTGCGGCAGACCAGAGACGGAAGCTAGGCGCGATTTGTGGATTGATGAAACGAGGAGTGGAAGGAGGCTCGGGTCGCTTGCCGATCCCACCCAACGCAAACGTTTCTTCTCCGGAAACACAATCCGGCGCGATTGGACTGGCGAGATTGCGGCGCGGCCGCACGCGCACGCGCACAGGGGAGGGCGCGGGCTCCCGGATCTGGGGAGGCGGGCGGGGTGGAGCGCGGCGGCACGAGCGGAGCGGCTCGGATCGGCGAGCAGCTCGGCAGGCGAGGGGCAGAGCGGAGCGGAGCTTGACGGGCCCAGTTTGCCCCAGACGGGCGGCTGGATTCGGCGGCGGCCGCCGTAGGGGAGGGCAGAAGAAGGGGTAGAGAGGAGATGCGGCGGGGGCTGACCTGACGGGGGCGGGCGGGCGAGCCGCGTCGGGAGGCTGCGTGATGGAGCTCTCGCCCAAGGGCGCAGGCGGCGGTGCGGCGGCGGTGCGGCAACGGATGGGTTGCGGCGGGGCGCGGCCGGGAGGATCGAATCGGGGGATGGCAGATGCGCCTGTCACGGGGTGGACGGGGGAGGAGGAGGGAGAGGGGAAGCGGAGGCTGGGCTGGGGCTGGGGGATTCACGTCGCGCGTGGGGCCCACTGTCCACGGGCTCGTGGCGCGCGGAGATTCGCGTGCGCCGGAGGCGTGCACGTTCGGTGCGGCAAATCGGTTGAGCGAGACCGAGACGGAGGGTGGGGAGCTCGCGTTCACCTCGTGGGCGTGTGTGACGCAGACTCCGTTGGTGAGCTGTTCACCCTTTTTTAGGTGAACTAGGTTCTTTATTTAAAACTCAACACACTCAGGAGACACGTATACGGGAGGTCGACATCCAACCACAGCCGCAGCCACATATATTTCAAAACGTATTTTAACGAACCGGACGAAATTCATGCAAACAGGCCGATGTTCATCAAAGTTCGGATAGAAAATAGCACAAATCATCCATACATACCATGCAAATTAAGTCCAGTACAACAATATCTCTAATTCAACTAGACCGCGGATGTCCAACAAGTTTTTCATAAACGGATCACGTTGTTCCACACATACCCCCCCCCCCTTCGACTTCATCCAACAGTGTGAACACGTAAATGGTCGAGTAGCTCACCATCTTTCATACTCTACAAAACGAGATAACATTCGAAAATAAGCTCAATGGCATTTGATCGAACACCTGTCGGGCTTGGTATCCGTCATGGAGGTCGTCGACATGGGCGGGGTGTACCTGGGTAGAAACGGCTCTAGGGTGGACAACTTCGTCGAGCAGGCGCGTGGGTGCTGGTTGCGGACGTCCGGCAATGCCTCTGTAGCGGTTGGATGGCTTCTGCATTCCGAACGGATGCAGGCGGTTTACGGATCCCCCTTGGAGATGTCCTTAAGAGCATTACTAGTAGAGTCCTCAAACCCTCAAACCCCTAAAAATAACTGTTTTTTTTACAGTTTTTGTCGGAAAAAAGCCGTAGACTAGAACCCCTTAACCCTCAAACCCTCAAAAAAATTTAAAGGTCCAACCCTCAAACCCTCTCCCAATCCTCAAAAGTAAGGGTTGGGGAGCAAAACATACCCCAACCCTCATTTGGCGGATATCCTCGCGCGGGAGGGAAAAATCCTCCCCAACTCCCGCGCCCAGGCCCGCGACCGCCGCTGCTAGTCGCCCCGTCGCCGGCGGCCACCCCGTCGACCTCCCGCGCGCAACGATGGGGAATATTCCGTTATAAGGGTTGGATTTGAGGGTTCTAATCTTTGCCCCTGTTTTTCAACCCGTAAAAATGCACAAAAAAGATCATTTTTGGACCCTTAAAATGCTAGTGAGGGTTTAAGGGTTCTACTAGTAATGCTCTAACTAATGCATGTGCTTCAGCATTGCATTCTCTAGGTTCAAAACCAAAAGAAACATCCATGAACTCTCTACTTCTATGCTTAATTTCACTCGGGACTGAGGCGTAAACCGATGCCGCCCCTTTCTTGATGTTTGAAACAACCTCTAGACAATCTAAAGCAATCACCAAGCGCTGGGTGTTGAGGTCCTTTGCTAACACAAGTGCTTCATTACAAGCATGTGCCTCCAAAGATGCTACTCCCTCCGTTCCGATTTAGTTGTCGCGCATGTTGTACATTGTACATTTTGCAAACATGTCCTGATACTTTTCAAATCATTTGAAAAACGCCCCCGTCTCCTTCCTTAGTTCGACACCGTCGCTCACGCGTCGCCGGCTCCGGCCACCATCCCCCGTCTTCCTCCCCCGTCCCCCGTTCTCCTCAGCACCCATCTAGAATCTTCGCGCTTCACAGAACCCAGCCGCATGTGCAGGAGACGACCTGCGTCGTCACGGAGGAGACGCGCAGGACCTCCACGGACGCGGCCTGCGCCGCCGCCCACCTGCGCAGCCGCCATGGTTGTGCCCTCGCCTACCTGAGCGGCGGGATTGCTCCAACAGTCACCTCCCTCTGAATCGTGCCGAGAAGCACAAAATCAACGACTGGGTCCTTGATTTCGTCCACGTTGGGAGTCGTCGCTGCTGACAATTCTGGCCGCCGTCGCGGCGTTGGGTCTTCACCGCCGCTCTGGCCCAGGGTGTTCGTCGCCGCGTTGTCCCTGCTCAACCTCCCCTCCAAGGCCAGGGTCCTCCTCTCCGCGCTGGTCCTGCTCCGACGGTCGCGCCCGCCCCCGCCTCTGTTGTTGCTGCTGGTATTCCGCGCCCCGCCCCCTGTTGGATGGCTCCCTTTTGGATGCTGGAAATATTCAGTCATTTCCTGGCTTCGCTCGAATTGATCCTCTGTTTTGTCTTTGATCTCTGAATTGTGAGTAAAGAACAAAGGGAGTAATCAGCCACTGCTCGAATTGATCCTCTGTTTTGTCTTTGATCTCTGAATTGTGAGTAAAGAACAAAGGTAGTAATCAGCCACTGCTCGAATTGATCCATTGTCATTGTATCATCTGCAATCAGGAGTATTAGCAAGTCACGGCAAAGAACACTTGTTTATCTGAATTATTGCCAGGCAAGCAGAGAACACTCCTTGAATTGGCTGATTGTCTTTAATTTTACACTAAATCATGGATTAATTTACTGTATCCATGATTTTCCAGTGTGTTACTCCATGATTTATCAAAACAAAAGTTGAATCTGTAGTGTTACTGCTATAGTAGCAAGTTGTGTTACTGTGTCATTCTCAAGCAAGTAAAGGTTACTGTCAGCATCATCAATGGAGTTAACTGCTAGCATCATCAGTTACTGTTACTGAAAAAACTCAAAGAGTTGGGCAGTTAGCAATAATGAAAAGTCTGACAACAATAGACCAATACTTGAAGTTGCAGCTAGTGATGCTTTGTTTGTCTTGAAGTAGAAAGTAAGAAATAACATGATGAGGGGATCCATAGCTTGAAAACAAATCGAGCTAACAAAGTTTTTCTCAGCAGATTCATTATGAGTGCACAATTACATCAAGCCATGTTAGTCCCAAAATAAGCACTTAGCCCCATATCAGAAATTGGGGAGGCTGCTTTTGCCTGTTAAAACAAACAATGATTTGCTTGCTAAAACCAACCATTAGTGTAGTCTGAAAGAACTAACCTTATTATTCAAGGAAATCAGAGGATATTATATTAACAACCAAGTATAGTTTTGCAAAGCACCTCTTATCAGTCAAAGATATCTGCTGCCAGCATCAGCTATAATAATAAGTTGAAAAGATAACTGATGAAAAAAATCACAACAAAATGTATGCCATTAGAAGGGATCATTTGTCCATTTTACCTTCTAAAGCTAAGACTACTAAGATAGACACCACATCCTGATACTTCATGCATTATCTGTAAGCTTGAGCATGTTTCATGTACCTAAAAAAATCCTTGAATCAAAGGCAAGACAATATATTTGGTATGAAATGATTCCTTTACACCACATCAGATTCCTTTACATTCATCAGATTCAAAAAATGCATTATCTGTAAGCTTGAGCATTTTTTAGCTTGCTTTCATGTACTGAGTGGGCAACTTCATAAATTGTTTGTGAAGGGGTCTACTGACAGCAATATCCTACTCCAGATCTGCATCTATTGATCATGTACTACCAGATCTGCTAGCAATTGTTTGAGTATTTATCTTGACTAGAATGTTCTTTCTTATTGGATCATGAACAGTTACCTGAGCAAGTGCTCCACCACCGCAATGATGTTTGGGATTGATCTCAACATGAGTCCTCCACAAGATGATGCCTCAGAACCTGCAGATCAACATGAAGAACACAACAGTCAATAACTATACAACAATGAAGAACCAGTCAATAATGAAGCAACATGTACTACCTCCAAAACTTTTGCATTTGTATTTTCATTTTCATGATCTACTCCTATTATTTGCAATAGCTAGATGACTTATCTTTTGCTCCTTATTTGATAGGGGAAGAAGCAAGTGGTGTAGAGGAACCAATTCATGAAGAAGCAAGTGGTGTAGAGGAAGCAATTCATGAGGAAGCAAGTGCTGTACAGAAACCAATTCATGGGGAAGGCAGAGAACTCACAAATGAGGAGAGATATGGTATTTATTTTGCACTCACGGTGATCAATACCCCAAATGGACAAGTTCTGAAAAAAGACAAGGAGGTCATTGCTAGACTACTCGATACAACCGTCAGAACTGTTGAGAGAATATGGGAAAGAGCTCTTAAACAGATTGAACAAGGGGAGAAAGTTGATGTCTCAAATCAAAAGCCGGGTAGAGTTGGCCGCAAGCGGAAAGATTTGGATTTGTCAAGGGTGGTGACAATCCCATTGAACAGAAGGAGAACATTGTGAGGTCTGTCAAAGGCATTGGGTGTAAGCTGCACGACCTCAC